TCTTGGAGACAGATTTGTGAAGGTCCTTCAAGTTGGCAATCTAAAATAACAATCCCTTATTTACGGAGGGCTCCCAATCACGAGGCTCTAACAAGTTTCATCACACAAGTTAAATAAAAAGAACCCAGAAGCACAAGGACAGATTTCCAATTGAAAAATACGGAAAACCAGTCTGGTAATGTTGCTCAGAAGTGAAGTTGGCAAAATAACAAATTAGCTATTTCTTTCTAGATATACAAAGTCAATTTACTTCTTCTATAAGGCATTTTTTTGTTTCCCTTAGTACATTTTGAAACACAATAGATGGTTAGAAAGTTACCTTAAATGGAATATTGTTTCAGCCTCCAGTGGGGGAGGCGGGGGCAGGGAAGAAGACCTTTCCACTATAATCAGGGAACAAGCAAGCGACTAAACGACTAAGGCCGTCTAACTTAGTCTTCGTGCACAGGCATGCAGCCGGCTTCTCCAACCCTGCTGACTGCCACACGACATTCCTGATGACAGGGAAAGCGATCCCGAGGGGAAGTCTTGCCCATCTGCAGAGCTAAAGGACATTAATTTCATTAACGAAAAAAATCATACTGAAACTCCTTCTAAAAAATGATTCGTGGAATCAAAATTCTCTCATCAGTTTAAATGGCGTCCTGTGTGTGTCAAGGTCTCGGTGTCGGCCTTGATGGCGACGTCACGGGACACCCACTGCCTTTCTTGGCTGGTTATGTGTGTGTCGGGTGAACGTCCACATCCCCACTCTGTGGAAGTTACCTAGTGGGGACACACAACGCTCCACAGTGAGTGCGTGGGCTTATGCAATTCCAGACGAGGTGGACCTTCATCTGGGAGGCAAATGAAGCATCAGCAGCATCTGGGAACTTGTTAGAAAAGCAGAATGGCAGGCCTGACTTCTACTAACCGTTAGGTGGTTGCCCTGCACGTCAACATTTAAGAGGCACCGTTCTAACTCTCTATTCTAGGCACGGGTTATTTTTTTGAAAGTATTCGGATGATGCTTCCACCAAAACATTGTCTAATCTCACAAGCCGCCATTGATGTTAACCTAACCAGAGGCTTCATCAAAAGTCCTCTCAAAGACGAAGTTTATTTACCATTAAATTCTCTCAAGTTCTCTAGCAACGTAGATGGTCTGAAGAACTTCTTAGGCGTTTCCTTCGAAATTAGCCAATGCTGCTTGTATTCACCTGGTCTAATCGTTCTCCGAGTGAACAAAAACCTGATTTTACAAGCCAGTGGAGCAGAGTCTCTCTTTGGCTAGAAGAATGAGTCTCAGAGAGTGTGTTTTATTTCTTCATTAGTGTGCCGTCACAGTGAGCGATCACTAAATGCAGGCTGCACGAGAATGCTGGGGTTAAAGACAGCATAATGAACAAAGAAGGTGCCAGATTATCATGGCTGTCAGCACTAGGGGATCGGGTTTGTCACCTGGCTTAACCAACTGGTAAGAACTGATTAGAGGCTGGAATCAGTTTGAAAGGATCCCCGATGTTTACGTTCCTTTCCATCCCCACATCTTGTCAAGAGAATCGGATAAAGCTGGGGGTGCGGCAAAGCGGGGAGGGCTTCATCCTGTGGCTTATTTGAACAAGAGAAACTATCACTGTCTTCTCTATTGAAATGTCTACTGCAGCGCTGTCCCATAGAACTTTCTGCGATGATAGAAATATTTAATAGCAGTGTTGTCCAGTATGGCGGCCACCGGCCTCCTATGGTTATTAAGTTCTTGAAATGTGACAAGCAAAAATTAGGAACTGAATTTTAAACAGAATGTTGACAACTTTAAATTTAAATAGCCACATGCACCTGGTGGCTACTGTATTGGGCAGTGCAAGTCCGCTATATTCATCATGAAGGGAGAAATCTAGAGGCCAGGACAGATTCTAATTCTGCTGTTTAACATACTAGGATACCTGGTAGCAAAATATGGTCACCTCTCTGATGATCCCTATCTCAAAGGAGATCTTCAGAGTCTTGTGTAGTTAATATTTATTAAATTTAAATTTAAAACAGACCTTAAAAATTCAACTCTGTAGAGAAGTGGGTTTAACCCACTTCTGTGTAGTAGAATTCTGAGGGGGCAACTTTTGAAAATACTGAGTCTTACCCCTACAGATTCTGGAGTGCAGTGCAGCCACTGGGTAATTTAATTGTGCAGTCAAGTGAGAGATACACCACAGAGAGGCAGTGACATGCATTGGCAATCTGCTGTGGATGGAGTTTGGGGGAGGAAGTGACCAGCTGGGATAAAATGAGAGAAGGAAGGAGGAGGAGGGGGAGAGAGAGAGAGAGTGGGGGGCGGGGAAGAGAAAGAGAGAGAGAGAGAGAGAGGGAGAGAATAAATGCTTGTTAGATCCCTACTATGTGCCAAACATTTGCAAATTATTTTCTTATTTATTTTTCAAAAATACCCCACGGGTAGATAGTGAGAATCCCGTTTTACAGGTGAGCAGACTGGGGCTCTGAGAGGTTAAACAACCTTGCAGGTTTGGGTATCAACATCAGTACTGCGTTTCTCCTCTTAACTTTAGTCAGAGGGATGCAATAAACATTAGAATAATGCTAAGATTTTGGGTTAGTAAACTGTAGGTGGAGTTCCAAGAGGATGAACCAGGAGAAAAAGGTTCACATCCTGCTTTGGTATTTTCATGGACTTTTTATCAATGACACAAAAAGCTGTCAGGAAAAAAAAAAAAAAAAGCTGTCAGTCTTCTCTTACATTATTAAAAACAATTTCTGAAAAATGCAAGAGTTACTTTAGTTTTTAAACTTTTTGGGTCATCCACATGATAAAAATCAGTATTTGCTTTTTCTCATTTGTATCCTCAAGAGAAAGCTAACAATTTATTCCTACAGAAACATAACGGTCCAAGGGCTCAGCTACCACATTTACATACACGGCAAACATTCCAATAACTCAGGTACGTGGCAATCTTTGGAGTCTCCCTAAACTTTTACACAGCAAGCTGCAGTAATTAAATGACTGGCCCATGGTCCTCTAGAATGCTAGACAATCACGAGACTAAAAATAGCTGGGAGAAGAAGCCAAGACATCTTGCCATCAAAGATGAATTTTATGCGATTCATAACACAGTCGAGCCCCCACTTAGAGAAGGCATCGTTTGCATAAAACATGGGTAAATAGTGGACTACTTGATGCAAACTGGAGGCAATGATCACACTGTCAGCTCACAATATTTCTCTTTGAGTTTGCTATCATGCCCTAAAATCCCACAACTGGACAAACATTGGTAGTAGGTGTCGACAAAGAAGGGGAGTTTATTATTAAACTAATCACATGCAATGAAAAATAAGATTAGAATATTTAGATTGGAAAAAAAAAAAGGCTGAGACTTGAGCATGTCAAATGTGCATGGCCATCCAGAGAAAGTACTCAGTCTATGGAAGGAACAGAAAAAGAAGACAAATCGTTGCCCGTTTATGCTCACCCCCAAATCTGGCCCCAGTAGATTTCTTCCCTCTAGAAGCGTGTGCTTGGCCTGGGGTAGCCCTCTTCACTCCTATTAACTGGAATGATGGGGGCTTCTGGTTGTACAGCCCTATCACCGAGCTGGGGTGGAGTTTGGGGCATGTTCTTTAACGTCTCTGAGCTGGCACTTACCTCCTCTATGAAACGAAGATAATCCCTATCTTATCGATTTATTATAATATAAACCCTGTGATAAGGTTTATTGAAAGTGCCTAATATATTACCTGGGTATAATTATAAAATGATTGTTGCTGTTATTGTTGTTGTTGTTATTTTCTCTGGTTATAAAAGAAACTCCGGAGGGTATGGCGATTTCAGTACAAATTTGGGATGGACCTGAAATCCTACTCCCCACTCCTTTTAAAGGTGGTACTTGACCGGGCTAGACAATGGCCTCCAGCTGGCCCAATTGCTCCCAACCCAGCAAGTACTTCCATTTGCAGTGATGTTGGCTCCAGGCCATTCAGGGTAGACTTTATAGTAGTTAGGAAACAAAATGATAATAGTCATCACAACAGTAAAAGCTAAAACATGTGGAGTAGCATCGGTTTACGCATTTTGCACAGTACGTAAACAACCTGAAGGTGTTCGGTACCAGCAGCCGTGAGAGAGGTATCATTAGCAACTCTGGTCCACAGACGAGGAGACAGACACTTAAGAAGCTAAACGGTCACGCAGCTATTAAATAGAGGGCAGGGAAACAAAGCTGAAACCTCCGGAAAGCCTGTGTACCTGGGCACTAGGTTCCGTCCCTCCATACACAGATTCACCCAATGGAAACACACGGGTAGAATACACAGGCACACCACTCCCTGTTCTGGTCAAGGTCACAGACATTGCAGGGTCTGTGAAGCCTTGAGTGTGCATGAAAGGAATGCCAACACCTAGGAACACTGTCCATATAAAGTGTAAGAAAAGATTTCTCCACTCCCTTGAATACCGAGGTGCCAAGCCCATCTATTCATTAACCCAGCATTCATTGAATGCCTAGCGTTAAACAAGGATCTAAGCATAATGTTATGAATACAAAACCATGAGGAAAGAAGGAAGAAAGATGAGGTCAATACAAGCTATGACATCAGTATCACACAGAGCTGAAACCACTTGTCCACACGTGATCTCATCCTCGAAACTCTGCCCTATACCTGTTTCCCCCGCAGCTGTCAAGCTTCCCCAGGAGTCCTCAATGAAATGGTAAAGCCATTTTTAAATTCCCATCTCGGCTCTAATTACACTGTCAGACAACCCCTCGATGCTCAATCTCTGCTCCACAAAGTAGTCTGTTGGCAGCTGCGCATTTTGAAGGCAACCAGAACAGCCACAGTGAGAAAAATCCTTTCTTTTCACAAGTATTTTCCCTGCTGTGATTGAGAAAAGATGCCTGCTTGATCTAATTTGCCCTTTGCACAGTTATCCTGGGAGAAGCTCCGGCAGTGCCCTGCTAGGTGGTAGTGAAAGCTACGGGCATGGCAGAAATGGGAGACGAGCACACACTTACGGGTGCAGGGCATAGAAGCAGCGTCGTTGTCGGCCCTGAAAAAGCCTCGGTCACAGGTACACGATGTGGCGCCTTCCCAAACAGAGTAGCTGTGGGGTGGGCACTTGGCACAGGTGGCGTCCGTGGAGAGGGCCTTGTAATATCCAATTTTGCAGGCTAAAGAAAAAAAGAAACACCAACCAACATAAATAACTGTTAAGAGAACAAAGCAAAATGTCACCTTGATTCAAAAGGAGGAAATAGTTTTCTAATCACACTGGTGATCGTCTGGCTTGAGATGCAGGGAAAGCATCCAATATATTAATGGATCATACTCACATTAAGGGGCATTAACATTTCTGGTCAAATAGCAAAGGAGACCTGTGGAAGAAACTTTCTCGAAACTGGTGGTCTTGATAAAGTCACGGCTACAGTTTCCCAAGTGTGTCCTGTGCGCCAGGTGCCCTGCTCGTGCCCATGACATTTAACCCTTGTGATGCCCCTTTGCCTAGGCACACCTTAGGGATGAGGAATGTCAGCCTTGAGCAGTAAATTGCTGGTACCTGACCATGTATGTGGTAAATGACAAGGACTAGTTTCAACCCTAAATGGTCTGTCCCCAGAGCCTGTACTCTTGACCACATGCTATGAAATCTTGAGAGCACAGTCCTGAACCAACCGGTTGTAAGTATATGCAAATGCTGACGAGAAATCGGTTGCTGGTTATTCCCTCATTACATCTGCAGGGAGGACCCAAAGCAAAAGGCAGACAAAAGCAACCAACATAAAAGAAGAATTGGTTAAGACGAGGGTCCCAATTTCAGGAGAAAGTTCTAGAAACTACCAACTGTAGCTTGTGGAATATAATGGGCTAAGATTTTTTTTTTTAAGATCAGCAGATAGTTTGTGTTTATTTTCAAAATGAGAAAATCCTCTTGTTTTCTCTCTTTCCATTTTTCAACACCTCCTCCCACCTCCCTCTGCACACACCCTGCCCATGAGTAACTGATGCAGAGAACAGGAGCCATATAGGTTTTTATGCACCTGACACACTTTCCATGACTTCGTCTTTACAAACATCATCACACTGACAACTAAGGACTGCTTTTACTAATGTGGAAAAACTCACTAATGCTGGGAAACCTCACCATAAAAAATAATTAACAGAGCTTTGCTCCCCCTCTTTTCTCTTCTGTGTCCTTCACGATCACCTCCCAAATCTGTCTCAACCCGAAATAAAAATTGACAAACACTATCACTAGTAAACCCGTAGTGACAAGGCCATTAAATGTAAAGTTATTTCGTAAGCCCAGAGATTTTTTTAAAAAGTGAGTTACCCGCAATCTTTTCAGTATGATTTACTCTCAACTCTTTCCATTTATCGCATTCTTGGGATGTTTCTATACTATCAAAAATACCAGCTATGAGGAGAACCCATAAGGCACTTGTCCATCTACCTGACCACCGAAAGAGACCAACCATGCCAGCAAGCCAGTAAGCCAGCAGGTTTTATTCAAGTTAGTAGCTAGAAAGAAATCCACTAAACTGTTTCACCCTCTGAGCATATATGGCCACCTTCCCTGTCTCCATTACTCATCTATCAAGCATCCATATGGCTTCTACTTGAAGTCTGTTCCTCCCTCTCGCACATCCTGTTGGTATTTTCTTAATCATGTTCTTGTAATGGCAAGCGGAAGGGGAGTTTAGCAGAAGCTCCAGAAAAGCACACAGTTACTTTGCCACTATTAACTAAAGTTGTTTATAAAATTTCCTTTAACGAGCCCAAACTTTATGACGTGTGGAGTACCGACAATAAAAGAGCTCGGAGATCAATCTCTCCTTTATTTGCCTTCATCTTTCACCAGACCGGAGCATCTTAGAAAAACAAGTTACTCCAACGACTGAGATTTATGTGTCCCCAGTTTATACACTTCACATAATTAGATAGGGTTCCACATGCAAGGTGCTTTTTGGTCATGCTTACTTTGGCCCTAGGGTTTCGATTAAAATCAGAAACCTCAGCTTCGGCAAAAAGAGGCACTGAAGGTCAGGCTTGTCCATTCCGCATCAAACACAATGAGTCCCTGAACTAGGGCACGAACCCACTGGATGCCGTCTGTCACTCACTCAGTCACAGCCCACAAAGGCAACTTGCGGCAATTTGGTCAGTGGGTGCTAGGACTGCCAAGGAGACACAAGTTGCTTTTATTTTCTTATCTGGATGTTGGAGGAAAACTCTCCATGCTCCTGACTAATCCTTGTGCACCTTCATTTCATTGGGCATCAAAACCTAAAGACTCACAATGGGACAGAAAGATTGACAAGAAAAATCGGTCTGTGCTAAATCATTGCAATGTGAAAACAGAGCACATTCAAAAGCTTTGGGGGTGGGGAGCCTTGTTAATTCCTCCCCTTCTATTCCAATAAGACTCTTTTCAGTTAAAAAAAAAAATTAAATTCATTATTTATGAAAATCAAATTGTAGCATGGCTTGAATTTCTTAAAGTTCAAAAATTATATATAAACAGAGACTCACGGACAGGGACAATAGACTAATGGTACCCAGAAGGGAGGAGGGAGGAGGAAGGAGAGAGGTAGACGTAGGAAAAAATTAAAATCATCTCTTCAATTAAAAAATAAATAAATTAAAAAAATTATATATATATATATGTTAATTTAAGAAAAAATGAATTTGGAACTTTTTTCTACATTTCCTTGAAGCTGGTATTAATATGTTATCCACAGTATGTATATATGAATTCATTTGGAGAATACAGTTTTATACCTATTTGTAAAACTGAAGGCTTCTGTTCTTTAAACGTACTGACTAGCTTCTCTTTTCCTCTTGCTTTTACAAACATGAGCAGAAAATATAAAATTGTCATTGTGCTATTCCCGACAACCCTTGCTACCCTTAACACATTCTTTTGTCTTCAACTAAATTAAGACCATGTTATTAATATTTCAGGATTCTTAGAAAGGCTCTCTCAAAATATAGTAGTGGTTGTTCACGCACAAAGCCATTTTGCTGGGTGCATGCAAAATGACCTACTAAACTGATGGTTCAGTACATTTTTTTGCTCTGTGTGGTTCATAGCTCTCCAGCATTTGGTTCATGAATGTGTAAGTACAAACCATATTTATTTATTCATCACTTATTCGCATCTTAAAAATTTTATTACATCTTTCCTTCCAAACAAAATTTCCATGAAAGGTGTCTTTGGTGTAGCAAGCATTGATTGACACATGTTATGGTTTTCCATCGTTCTTTTGGACAAATTGCACACCCAGGAGACACCTTCTTCCTGCCCCCTTGCTGGTGAAGGTTTACTGCATGGAGTACCACGGGACAGAGAGCCTTCCTTGGCCTTTTAAATACACCATTGTGGGAAGATTAGTTCACACGTGCAATGCAAACTTTGAATTGCATTAATTAGTTCTTTCTGCTTACTTTAAATAAAACAAAGAGATAAATGAAGAAGTAGAGGAAGAGAAAACTCCTTTGATTGACTCAGCAACTACTATCAGGAGGTTCGAGCCCTTCTGTAGAAGTTTCCTTGTGGAATACTTTCAGTTGAAAACAAAAATAAAAATATTCTTAAGGTTATGTAGTATCTTCAGGATTTCTTGGTGCATGGATGACTTACACGAGGTATAAGGCCCAATTTAAGGAGCTAGTTAAACCTACTCTTAAAACACGTCGTCTATATAGATGTCGGTCATTTTTCTTCTTTTTTAGAGAGATTCGGAAGGATGGGTAGTACCTAATTGTCTTTATTTTTAAACTAATTTAGTTTGTATTTTCGATACTAGAGTTCGATAAAATATCATTAAATTTAATTTCATCTTTTTCATTTTACATTTTTTTTAATGCGGCTACAAAAAAACCCATAAACTTATCAAGATAGCATGCATTATATTTCTTTTGGGCAATGCTAGCCTAGAGTTTGAACTATAAGTCTTCTGCGTGCTTGTGGGATGTGTACGTATGCGCACGGGAACTCTTGTAATTGTTGGGTGCTGACGGCAGTGGGGGATGTGTCACCATCACCCTAGAACCTTTATTTAAAACTTCCCCTTATTCCACCTCAGACACTCTGATTCACTTCTATTTAAGTACTGCTCTCGGCCAGCTAGCTAATTTGAAAAAAAAAAAAAACTAATTTGAGCGAAAGTACTAACAAATAGACATTAATGGGTTAAAAATTACCTTCCTAGGTAACAAATTTGCATTTTAATATGGATTCTCCAGAGGGTCAAAACTCAAATCCCAACAGTGGCTCTCCTAGGGAAATCTGAGCCAGTTATGCAAACTGGTACTCAGGAACGTTCAGCTCTGGGAGGCCTGCAGGCCTCTCCAGCCTCAAGTGCGCGTGAAATCAGGCACAAGATTCCACGGGTACTGTGCCGGCAGCTCTGCCTTCTGTGTACTAGGTATACAGTATTTTCGGTATGATTATGAATGTATTTCAGAAATATCAAAGTCACTTAATGGCCATTATCGAATTAGTTCTGATTAACTGTTCACTGATTAGACTATCATATGAATAATGTAAGAGTAAATGATGGGAGAGGGAAACGATCTGTCAAAGAGGGTTTCTGCTTTGAGGTTTTTGTGAAAGGTGCAATCCCCAGCCACCTCTGGGGAAGCTGGGAATGCTAATACACAGATTCTCCATAGGACAGATGGGAAGACTGAAGCAGAGAGGTTAAGGATTCATTTACCCAAGGCAGGGTTGGTTTTCTAACCCAGGCAGTGTAGCTTGAACTACTATGCTTACAGACCTCTTCTTTTGTCTTTGAAACCTGCAGTGTAAAGATGAACAATCGTTATGGAGAAATGAGGCTCTGCTTTGGGGCCATCCGATTCTATTCCATCTGCAAATAGCAAAACATGACCAAACAGTGGCCAAACCACTTTGTCCCAGTCATCCGCATTCCACAGCTGGTTTTATTAATATGTGTTGAGACAAAAATTGAGGTTCTGTTAAGGGACCTTAAAGGTCATTTAATCCAGGGGTTGGCAAACATTCCTGTAAAGAGCCAGATAGTAAATAATTTAGGCTTTACAGGCCAAGAGGAAGACCAAGGATAGAAAGGTATTTGCATAACAAGCTAAAATTCTAACAAGTTTCTACAATTTCTACAATGTAGTTCAAAATATAATAGTAGTAATT